TTCTTTGGAACGGGAACAAATATAGATCTCTTCCAGTCAGTTGGCCAAGTGGTTGTTCTCCAGATTTCTTGGCACAACTTGGTGAGCACATCCAGGGCAGTATCTGTTAGCTGAAATACGTCAATTAGTACCCTCTATTCCTGGGGCCTTATTTTTTGCTCTTTCCTTCAAAGCAGCTTGAACTTCTTCCTTCTTCACCATAGGCTCTTGCTCATATGTTCTGTCAATTTCTTTCAATACAGTGACTCAGTAAATTCTTTCCATCTTCTTTTAATACTTCTGGATCGTTTAATATTCTGCCTAAAGCATCCTTGATTATTGCAACTCGAGGTTTAAATTTGTTCTTCAGTTCCTTGAGCTTAAGAAATGCTGAATGGAGGCAAGAAGGAAGCACAGACAAATAAGGAATGGCTTTATCCCTGTAAGAAACAATAAAGTATTTCTGAACCAAAAAAAAAAAAAAAAAGAAATGCTGAATGAGTTCAGTCCTTTTGATTTTCCGCCTCCAGCTCCTTGCACATTTCGTTGTAATATTTTGCTTTGTCATCCCGTGCTGCCTTTTGGAGTCTTCTCTTCAACTCTTTAGTATCTTGAATTCTTCCTTGTGCTTTGGCTTCTCTGCACTCCAGTGCAATCTTCAGAGTTTCTTTTGACATCCATTTTGGTCTTTTTTTCCCTCTTCTGTCTTTGTAATGACTGTTTGCACTCTTCCTGGATGATACTTTTGACATCCTCCCACAACTCATCTGGTCTTCGCTCATTAGTGTTCAAGGCCTCAGACCTGTTCCTGAGATGGCTCTGAAATTCAGATGGGATAAACTCAAAGTCTTATTTTGGGTACTGTGGCTTTGGTTTAATTTTCCTCAGCTTCAGCTTGAACTTGCATATGAGTAGTTGGTGGTCTGTTCCACAGTCAGCTCCTGGCCTAGTTTTCACAGCTGATATTGAGCTTCTCCTGCTAGCAAGCACTTTTTAATTAGGTAGAAGCTGACTTCTCTTCTTGGATTAGAATTGCTTATTTCTCATCTTTATTTTTTTTTTCAACTTTTATACAGTGAATAGGGATGATAGAAAGAGAATTGATGCCTTTGAGCTGTGGTGCTGGAGAAGAGTGTTGAATATACCATGGACTGCTAGGAGAAC